CAATAATCTTGTCTACATTGATTTGTTCAGAAGCTGTGTTAACCGTGGTATACTTATTTAGGACCAACTCAATTTGTGGATGTGCATTGGAGTACAACGGGTTATTGTTCTGAACATGTGGATTAGAGATAGCATACGTCTTGTTCCTGATGAATAAGTCTTTGAAGTGTTGGATGTCGTCATTGAAAATTAGTACTCCAATCCGTGCTCTCTGTACAATATTTGTAATTGTAATATTATAATTATATTTGTATAAATAATGTTATGTTAATATTACTAAATATACTAACCTCTTCATCAACCATTATGATCTTTTTAATCCTTTTAGAAAAATTTGTTCCACATGCTATTTCGTCTGCAACTCGCAAAACTGTAAGGTGTAATGTCCATGGTTGTTGGTTGTCTACAAAGTTCTTATGGTAATTGTCGAGTTTGATGCCATTTTTCTTGGATATCCTGTCAGTGTTTGAAAGTTTAAAGTGTGAGTGAAGAGTATGTATAATAAACTTTTCTAGCAAATACGAAACGGTAATCATCTTTTTTGGAGGGTTTTGACCCGATTGAAATTACATGGAATAAATGATGGGATGAAAAAATGGCTTAATTAGTAGAAAAAATGACACAAGGTAATGTAAATCCCAACTTCGGTTCAAAATCCATTTCTTCAAACATAAAAAGGTTAATATTTATTATTATTGAGGAAAAAAATAAGAATACTCAAAAAAGAATATCAGTTGGTGGGAGAAGGCAGAAACATATACCTGGATCTTTGGTGCAATATATTTTTTCTGATATTTAGTAGGTACTTGGTGCAATATGGGACTCACAAAGTTTGTATATTTATATAGCTAGAATTTGTGTGTGTTATTAGCATGAAATGAGATGGATGCCTGTTTGTTGAAATTCTGGCATAATTATGTTGATATTAATGTGTGTATATGACGATCCTTTACCCAAAAGAATGAATATGATAATTAATAGCTGCAAATAAAACTCATACCTCTATGGTTTCATAATTATAATTTGATTAAGGTCGTGAAACTGAAACTGAAACTGAAACTGAATAAATAGAAGAGTATATCATTAAAAAGATTCTCAATGGAGGTATTAATTCTTCCCTGTTCATTGTCCATCATAAAGTAATGATGTAAAAATTCAATTTTTCAGTTAATGACAATCAAGGATCGTAATTAGTATTTTTATAAACGTAATCTCCTTCAAGTTTGTCAGACTTGGTAGTAGAATATGAAAAGAGTTTAGAGTCTTCTGTAGAAGAAAGAAAAGAAGAAAAAATACTGTTTCTTTAATGAAACTTTTTGACTATTTAAATGGAATATTTGTTTTTTATTTTTTTCGGTTTTTTAATTTTGGTTTTAATTCCAATAAAAATATGACGAAAATGAAAGCTAATTAATTTTTGGGAAGTAAAATAAAATATTTAATATTTATGTGTAGAGATTATTTTATCAATGTTTTGAAAATCGAACTGGTTTAGCCGGAACCCGAGCCAGATCCGGCCTGGTTTAGTGCAGAAACCGAAAAGAGCCAAAAAACCAGGTGAAAGGCGAAAACCCGGAAAACAACTTGGTCGAACCGGGAAACCGGAAACTGCTCCAAAACCCAATTTTCAGAGAAAAAATGTTGTTTGTTATGCAAAATAGAAAAGGATTTGACGATTCAAGGATTAAAACTTACAAATTCGGTAATTATGAGCAAGACTTGAAGTAATGGAATAAGAAATCTATTTTTCGTGTGGGTTTCGAGAAACATCTCAAAACCATATCTAATCGGCGCAGTGAAAGGCATGGATTTGTGGTGTGACTCGGGCTGAGTTTCGCTGTTGGCCGGAAGAAGATTAAGCAGACGAAGAAGGCAAGTGGAAGCAGCTGTTTGATTTTGTAGATGATGAATCTCTTTTTCAGCTTCTCTTATCATTGGTTTTGTTGTGAGGAGTGTAGAAAAAGAAGATATATTATGTTGATGTTGATTTCACTGAACCTCTTTACAAAGATATATATACAAGAAATTATCATAATTGACTCTAAGGTAAATCTTCATACTAAAGAAAGAAAATAATACAAAATCAATTAATGGAACTATCAAATATACGGTTTCCTAAATGAGTGGATATTGTTGATTTCACAACACTCCCCCTCAAGTTGGAGAGTGAATATCGAGAACTCCCAACTTGACTAAGATTGCGACAAAATCATCCTTCCCCAACGGCTTTGTGAACACGTCGGCAAATTGGTTTCTTGAAGCGACGTAAGCAGTGGTAATTGATCCATCTTGAATTTTGTCTCTAATAAAATGGCAATCCCTCTCAATGTGTCGTGTTCTCTCATGGAAGACTGGGTTTGCAGCTATGTGTAAAGTTGCTTGGTTATCACAATAAAGTGTAGCAGCTTCAGTTTGTGTAGTTTCCAAGTCACTCAGGAGGTCTTTAAGCCAAGAAATCTCACAACATGCTCCTGTCATTAATCGATATTCCGCTTCAGCTGAAGATAAAGATACTGTCTTTTGCCGCTTGCTTCTCCATGAAATAAACGATTTTCCAAGGAAAACACAATATCCCGTTGTTGATCTTCGGGTTGTTGGGCAACCTGCCCAATCAGAATCGCAGTAGGCACGCAACTTTAAATCACTTTGTGCTGGAAAAAATAGGCCTTGGCCTGGTGCTGACTTAAGGTACCGCAATACTCGTTGTGCAGCATCCATGTGAGGTTTACGCGGCTCATGCATAAATCGACTTAGTACATGAACAACATAGGTGATATCTGGTCTTGTGATAGTAAGATAAATCAAGCGGCCTACCAATCTTCGATATCGAGACGGTTCATTAAGAAGCTCTCCAGAATCGGAAAGTTTGAGATTTTGCTCCATAGGAAAAGTGACGGGTTTTACTCCTAATGCACCGCCATCTTGAAGAATATCAAGACAATACTTTCTTTGAGAAATGTATAACCCCTTCTTGGATCGAGATACTTCAATTCCCAAAAAAAACTTCAAGTCTCCAAGATCCTTAATTCTGAACTTAGAGTGAAGAAAATGTTTGATGGACTGAATTGCATCATCATCATTTCCCGTAATCAAGATATCATCCACATAAATTAGTAAGGCTGTAAAAGATTTTCCCGCTTTCCGAGTGAATAGAGAATAGTCCGCTTTGGATTGAACAAAACCAGCAGTTATGATAGCCTCGTTAAATTTGGCAAACCATTGCCGAGATGCTTGCTTAAGACCGTACAAAAACTTGTTAAGCCGACACACCAAATTCTCCCCCTGTCGGTGAAAACCAGGAGGAATGGACATATAAATTTCTTCATGTAGATTGCCATGAAGAAATGCATTATGAACGTCAAGCTGATGTAAAGACCAAGAACGGGCTGAAGCAATGGCTAGGAGACAACAAACTGTGATCATTTTAGCCGTCGGAGAAAAAGTATCGTGGTAATCGACACCCTCAGTTTGAGTGTAGCCTTTAGCAACTAGCCGAGCTTTGTATCGCTCAATAGAACCATCAGAACGACGCTTAATCTTATAGACCCATTTGCACCCTATAGCATCTTTGCCTAAAGGTAGAGTTTTAAGGGTCCATGTATTATTGGCTTCCAAAGCATCAAGTTCGACTTTCATAGCATGCTGCCAGTGAGGATCTGTGGCTGCATCTGAAAAGTTGGAAGGTTCGACATCTCTACTAATATTGGCAATGAAGGAAAGATGAGAGGGTGAAAATCTTTTATAAGAAACAAAATTACTAAGCGGGTACCTTGTTCCTTTGCTAGCACCAGGCGACGAAGACGACACGTGATTGGTGACGAAGTCCTTGAGAAGAACAGAAGGGATTTTGTGATGCTGGGATCGACGCATGGGTTGAACTGGTGGACTAGATCTTGGGCTTGATGGCTGGAGTGATACATAGGAAGAAAGATTAGAAGAATCTAGAGTTTCCTCAGACGCTCGAATTTCAAAATTATCAGACGGAACGGGTAACACGAGATTGGTGGAATCTGGACCATTGGACTCTTTTATTGATGGAGTTTGAAAAGGAAAAGTGGTTTCGTGGAAAACGACATCACGAGACGTAAAAACATTGTGATTAAGAAGCTCATACAACTTATAAGCTTTTTGTCCGTGAGGGTACCCCAAAAAAATGCACTTTCGTGCACGAGGATCAAATTTGGTGGAATGTTGAGCTGAGGTGGCAAAAGAGAGACATCCAAAAACACGAATATGGTTATAGGATGGTTTTTTTGAGTAAAGAGCTTCGAAAGGTGTTCTATGGGATAAAAGTTTTGTAGGAAATCTGTTTATGAGGTAAGTTGCTGTAAGAATGCATTCGCCCCAAAATTTAAGAGGTAGATGAGCTTGAAACCTTAAAGCTCGAGCTGTATCAAGGATGTGGCGATGCTTACGTTCAACGACACCATTTTGTTGGGGTGTGTAAACGCAAGTATGTTGATGAATAATTCCTTGATCAGAAAAAAATTGTTTCATGGAAGCAAACTCCCCCCCCATTATCAACTCAAATTTGTTTTATTGGTGTGTGAAATTGAGTTGTAATGAAGGCAAAGAAGGATTTAAGACGACTTTGTGTCTCATGCTTGTGACGCATTAAGAAAACCCAGGTATATCGAGTGAAATCATCTACTATAGTCAAAAAATAATTTGCACCGGAAAGGGAAGATATTTTATATGGACCCCATATATCAATATGGATTAGATCAAAAGGTTTGACAGTAGATATAGAACTAACTCCAAAAGGAAGACGAGTTTGCTTAGCCATAGGGCAAACATCACATATATTTTCTAAACGACGATAAAAATTCGGTAAAATTTTAGACAAGGTTTGGAAACGAGGAAAAGATAAATGTCCTAAACGCTGATGCCAAATATCGGTAGAAACTGAGGTAGAAAGGCAAACTGGTTGTTTGACGGGAGGGTGTGTTTGTGGTTTAGCAGATACTAACGCCACAAGGTGATACAATCCATCTTGCTGCTTACCCAAACCAATCGTCGTCCTCGTAACCTGGTCCTGCAAAATACACCAAGAAGGAAAAAAAAGTTATCGAACAATTGAGACTTTGTGTAAGTTTGCTCACAGATAAAAGATTAACATTGAAATTTGATACACATAAAACATCTTTCAATTGAATATTGGAATTTAAGGAAAAATTGACAATAGAAGTCCTAGCGGCCTTCTCTCCACTAGGCAACGAAACAGGCGGTAATGATGGATTATCGGTATGGACTTTCAATGATCGCTTAGAACATGTAATGTGATCAGTCGCACCACTGTCAATAATCCATCGGAGGTGAGTTGTCAATCATTCCAACAAACCTGTGGAAAGCTCGGTTGAATTAGTCTGAGGAGGGTGCGATTCACTTCCCGTTTCAGACATAAACGAGAGAATTTGTTGATATTGTGCTTCTGACAGATTGGGCATAGCAGTCTGTAATTCCTTAACGGAAAATCCCGTGTTTACCGAATTTGCAGAAGGAGTGTATCCTTTTCTATGGTGACCACCATTAGACGATTTGTGGAGTCGGTGTCCTTCTGGATAGCCGTGCAATTTATAACACGTCTCCTTCGTATGAAAGTCTTTATCACAGTGGCTGCAATGAAGTGTTTTTCGCCCCGAGTTAGATGTTCTTTGTCCACGTTGAACTGCCATGGCTGCCACTTCACTTATCCCCCTTGTATTTCCAAGTTCTCTTTGTTTTTTTTCTTGGGATATTAGAGAATAAGCCTTTCGATGAGTCGGCATCGGCTGCATCAAAAGAATCTGTCCACGCACAGCACTATAGGATTCATTTAATCCCATGAGAAATTGCATTAAAGCATTTCTCTCCTCACGTTCTGATTGTGGCTTTATTTTTCCACAAGTACAGTGACAAGGTTCATTATAGGATGCTAATTCATCCCAAAGACCCTTTAGCTTGGTGTAATAGGCTGAAACAGACATTTGGTTTTGTTGCAAATACGCCATTTCACGTTGAAGTTGAAAGATTCTTGGTGCGTTACTTTGAGAAAATCGTTCTTCAAGGTCCTGCCATATCTCATGTGATGTAGTTGAGTATATCACACTATCAGCAATATCGGGTTCAAGAGAATTTAGAATCCATGAAAGAATCATGTCATTGCATCGCTTCCATGAGGAGTACTCTTCTGGTGACTTTATTTGACAAGAAACTTGAACGGATCCGTCGATGAAACCCAACTTGTTCTTTGCGCTGAGAGAAATTTTCATCGAGCGGCTCCATGTTCCGTAATTATCACCATTGAGAGGTTTGGATACGAGGATCATTCCGGGGTGATCGGAATGATGAATAAAAAAAAGATAGGATGGATCATTTTTGTTAATGCTCTTACTTTTATTTGAATCATCCTCCATGATGAAGAAATCAAAGAACAAGAATTATGAAAAAAAACGGAAGTAAAACGCAAGGATTTTATCCTGCTCTGGTACCATGTAGAAAAAGAAGATATATTACGTTGATGTTGATTTCATTGAACCTCTTTACAAAGATATATATACAAGAAATTATCATAATTGACTCTAAGGTAAATCTTCATACTAAGGAAAGAAAATAATACAAAATCAATTAATGGAACTATCAAATATACAGTTTCCTAAATGAGTGGATATTGTTGATTTCATAACAAGGAGAGTTAGTGGGTTATTAAAAAATTTATATTATATGAGTGCATAAGATTGATGCACTAATTAATTATATTGTAGTTTTATTTTTTTTATTTTAGAAAAACATTGTGAATTAAAGTGGTCTATTAGGTTTTAATATATGTAATTTATATTTTGTTTTATGATATTTATATCTAGTTTTATCATGAAATGTTAAAAAAATAATGAAAATATGTGTATATTTTCAACATAGGTATTATATAACTATTTAAGTGTTTATTAATACTTAATCCCAGTTGAACCGGTCGAACCGTGACCCAGTTGCCCTTCCGCTTCGATGTCCGGTCCGGTTTTTTGCAAAACATTGGATTTTATTTATTTCATCACTGACTCAAATAAATTTATTAATAAAATTTATCATAAATATGTGAAAGAATTAGATATGATTATTTTTAAAATTAAAATTATTATTACAGTTGTGGTCCCTATATTATTCACATTTTTCTATTTTAGCCCTTCTACTTTTCTTTTACGAAATTGATTAATCGGTTTTTTTTTCTCTTCGAGTCCACTGTTTGAATTTTTAGTTAGTTTTTACGTAAAAGAACATATATGGAGCAGATGACCATGCTATTTCAACTCATTTCTTAAATATATTTATAATTTTGCACCCATTTCAATTTATTCCTACAAATTCGCACAATAAAACGAAAAATGTTAATTGCAATTGGTACCCTACTGTAGAAAATCTCCCTATGTTAAAATAATTTGCAAAAGGAACCCGTGGGTCTCTCTCTTTCATATTATTTGTTCGTCTTGTTCTATCGAATATTTTTTAAACATATCTTATCACCATGTTCATCCTAAACACACAGTAACGGTACAGGAGAATTCAAAATATAATGTGCAAAGTTTTGTATCAGGATTAAAATTGAAATAAAATTTAGGTTTCGTATCTCTCCAACTTGAGAGCTCAGCGATTTCATAAATTTCGTTTATAGGTAAAATTACGCACGCACAGTGTGTGTGAGTTGTGTCTTTCACAATTTCCACCTTTAGAAGTTGAAAAGTTTTTGGGCCAAAGAATCATCGCTTGGGTAATTGGTAGAATTGATATAAATAAAGGGAAAAATACAGTTTTTGGCCCTCAAGTTTGCACCAATTCGACATTTGGTCACTCATGTTAACAAAAAAACAAATTTCATATCTTATGTTGCAAGAGTTCAATACTTTCAGTCATTTCCGTCAGTTTCTCGTTAAAACTAACATAATCAATCGTGTGCCCGTCACTACCTTAAGTAATAGAGTAACGGTAAATTACCGGAAACGACCAAAAATGTTAAATTATTGGAACATGAGGGACGAAATATGTTATTTGTGAATTTGGGTGACCAAATGTGAAATCATTGCAAATTTAGGGATGAAAACAATAATTTCCCCTATAAATAAATATCTCTTGACAACCAACATTTTGAAGATAACAAAGAATAACCTCCATTGATTGTTCAGTGAGAAAGTTGGAGATTAATATTTTCATTTATTTGTAACTAACACTTCTTCTCGATATGAAATTTCTAAATAAAAGTTGAATACATCGAGGAGTGTGTAAATGGATAGACCTCTCCATGAAACCCATGAAAGCTATAGCAAAAAATGTAATATTTAAACTTAGATATTACATGTTATAAAACTGATTTAGTGACAATTTATTATTGTGCTGTTTAACATTAAGATCAACATTATTACATATTACCTTATATACAGTTGGGTGGTTTGAGATTGAAGCATCAGGGACATACTTCATCATATCAACTACATCAGTCATTCCTAATGCAGCCTGCCATGAATTGAATATTAATAATGTTAGTTGTTAAATAAATACAAGTGACATTACTTTTCTTTTTTTGGTTCCAGACAGAGGTCTGATTTAAACGACCCACTTTCGTCCATACCTGCTGCCAAAACTTGTTTGTAAATGACATTTTTGGTTGCCGTTTCTTCTTGCATTCCTGAACTGCTTGGTTTTATCAACTCTTTTGTGGTAGACATTGAAGTTCCTCTTGATAAAGGAGCTAATTGCATAAAACCCCCTGTGTAATTTCGAATTGTCAAAAAAGTCCTCGTGTTAAAAATATTAGCAAGGATCCCCCTATGTTTTGTTTTACGAAGCACACCGCTCCTTAATTCGAAATTGATGGTTGACTTGTATGCAATGACTAAAATATCCCTAATAGTTTTTAGTGATATTTCAATTTTAAACAATAAAAAGAAAAAAAAAAAAAGAACTATCACACAAATAAGCAAACCTGCATCTTCTCTCCGACAATGGTGTGCGGCGATTTTTTTGGTTTATTTCGGATAGAAAGAAAAAAGTGCAGCAAAGCAGTTTTTGGTGGATGGGAATTGTGGATTCAGAAACTATAGTAGTGGTGGTGGCATTCAACGGCAGCGGCGGCAGTGTGGTGGATCCGGAGAGTCGGCTTCGAGTTTGGGTGGAGTAGCTGTGGAGTGACGGCGAATATTCTTCGAGTTTGACATTCTTCTTCTTCTTCTTCCTCAGTATACGACTCAAGATTCACAAATTGGAAAAAAATGCTATGGAAATTGAAAGAAAATGCTTTGAAGAATGTTTGCATTTTTTTTGGGTTTTGGCAGGGATGTGCCGAAAAAGCTTGAGACGCCATTTTTCTTCCCTTTTGTTTTCTTGGATTTGGAATATGAATGAACATCATGCTCAGATTGGGTTTGGTTGATGGGTTTTGCCGGAAAAAATCATGGTGAAAAAGTGGAGTGTTGTTCTTGAGGTTGGAGAAGAGGGCTTATTTGAATATATAAAGGACTCAATTGAAAATTTTAAAAACTTCATTTTGGTGCTTATAAAATTTATGGGGGCATTTTGGTATTTTCGTGTCAAAAAAACGAACCCCCACTCGCATTCATGGCAAGTGAAGCACACGGTCAGCTCTCAGGGACCTTATTGCCTTTGATTATTTTTCGTAAGGGGGTATTTGCTAATTGTTTTAACACAAGGTCTTTTTCAGCAATTCGAGATTACACAGGGGTGGTTTTTGCAAAAAACCCCTTGATAAAGCAACATAGAGTTGGCCATGTGAGAAAACTGATTGTGGCAAATATACTCCTACATTTGGAATTGTTTGTCCTTGTGCTTTATTGATTGTCATGGCAAAGCAAAGTCTAATTGGGAACCGTTTTCTCTTGAACTTAAATGGATAACCTTCATTTTCAGCCGGCGAAAGTGGTATTCTAGGTATAAAAACATGTTTTCCGCTATGTTGCCCAAAGACTATCTCAACATCGATGACGTTATCCTTAAAATTCTTGCAAACCATCCTTGTACCGTTGCATAAGCCGTTTGATGGGTCTAGATTCCGTAGAAGAATTATTGGACAATTTTTTTTAGCAACAACTTATGAGGAGGAAGACCATTTGGTGTTAAAGAGTTCAGAAATTCCTCATCGTAGAAGTTGTTTGTATCGTCAATAGCTTCATCATAACTATGATACTCTCTCGATTCACCCGGAAATATAGATATTAATTTCTCATTCAATTTGTCTACATGTTCATTTCTTGTCGCAAGTATAGCACGGCCTGTCATGTAACCAGCTGAATGAGAATTTTCGCCGAGAGATGGGAAAATAGCCGTAATAAGTCTGTGTATCGAGTCTTCATCATTATCATAATGAATAATCATCTCTTCTGGAATTTTGACATTGCCTTCAGTATCATTTGGTTCTTCACCATTTCCGATTCTAAGTAAGAGCTCGCTAAATTTTGAATCGGTTTTGGCTCTCATATTAGTCTTCAAACTATTTTTTTCCATTTCACCTCATAGAGGTGATTTAACCAAGCTCGCACAAATTGTTTGGTGGACCGTTCCTCTAGGAACAACCAGCAATACTTGTCGAAAATCTCCACCAAATACAACAACTTTTCCACCAAAATATTTATCATTTCCCATTATATGTTGAAGGCATTTATCAACATTCTCGATAGCCCATCTTTTAGCCATTGGAGCTTCATCCCATATTACCAATTGTGCTTTGCGTAATAGCTCAGCAGCTCCACTTTGTTTAGATATAGAGCAACTACTCGAGGCATTTGCATCTAATGGTATTTTGAAACGTGAATGAGCAGTTCTTCCGCCTGGCATTATTGCAGCAGCAACTCCAGATGTTGCAGTTGCGATTGCTATACGTTTCTTGGATCTAATATGAGCTAACAATGCACGGTATAGAAATGTTTTCCCCATTCCACCTGGTCCATCAATAAAGAAAATGCCACTTTTTCCTCTTTCTACAAAATCTAATATTCTTGAAAAAACCTTATGTTGCTCGGGATTCAACTTATTTTCTGCCTCATAATCTTCTTCAGGTATTGATATTGAAATTTCATCTTTGATCTCTCGCGGCAAATCATCTTGGATATTGTTGAACTCTACTAGAATGTTGGGAAGATCGCATGATTTGATGGTTTTCCCCATGCTCTCCAAGAAATAATTCAGGCTTTTCAAAGTTTTGACAAGTTGAAGCATATATGTGGTTCCTGGCTCTCTCTTATAACATCCTCTGACATTGGATCAAAGTAAGTATCCTATAGATTCTTCACATCAGTACGTGCACAATAAACCAGGATGGTAGCAAATAATCTTCTTAGCTCGTGTGGCATTTGAAAAGAGATGGCTTCGTTTAAACATTCAGTTAGACTTTGATCCGACTCCAATAAGTCCCTTCTTTGTGCAGCCTCTTTAAAGCTTGAGCATTTTTTATGATTCACAGTTAGTAAGTCTTCAAATGATGTTGGCCCTCTAACAAGATTCAAGAGTAACCTCAGGTAAAATCTTTCTCCTTCAATAGGATTTGCACCATTTACCCGCCCTATCACGTTTCTTTTCTTTCTCTCATTCCAGCATTTGAATTTATTGTCCCATACATAGTGTTCTGGAAATTCCCGGTAAAGATATTTTTTTGCATCTTCACTTTTTGCGCACATAGAGAAATATTCTGTTAGCATTGTCTTAGATGTGTGATCCCATCTCAGAACATTCTCTAAATTTTGATTTCCCCAATAAGTTACAGATTGTTGATTTGGTAAATGAAGGGCCAAATTAATAACTGAAGGGTACATCTCATTTAAATTAAACTCGAAAATTCTCCACATTGCTTCTTGAGCAGAAACCCACCGAGCATCTTGAAACTGTTTAATCTCATCAATGATCATCTCTTGATCCTTTTGTGATATTTGAAATGCCACCCTATCATGTCCTTTATAAATGTACTTATAAAGATATTTCACCGCTGTAACTCCAGAACAAATCTCGACATTTATATGAAAATTGTATCTTGATAAGAGATATGGATTATAAGGAACCACACATTGGTTATCTAGCTTCGCCTTACGAACTTCAGCTGTCACTCCATTTCTCTTTCTTTTATAGATTGGATATCCATATTTACCTTGCACTGTGCTTTCACAATATGATCGTAGATAGTGATACTTACATTTCCCCTCGATCATACACGAGTTTTTGAAGTTCAATTCTCCACATGGCCCGTGCATCATGTGTTTAAGCACTAAGTCATAGAGTCAAGGATATTTTTCTTTATCCGGAAGCTCAGCACAAACAAATCTGTCGAATTGTTCTAGAGCTGTAATTTTGTATTCAGACTTTAAAATTATCAACATATGAGCATGCGGCAATCCCCTTTTCTGGAACTCAATTACATGAACATGGGCAACGACTTTTCCAAATATTTCTTTTTTGAATAGTTGATCTTTCAAATCTTGGAGCTTTGCTCGAAAGACTCGGGATGTTAAATCTGGACGATCTTGAGCCTGTTGACCAGCATATAAATTTTCTTGTATCTCTTTCCACTCTGGATTACAAGTCATTGTAATAAAAAGATCCGATTTTCCGAATCTTTGAACTAATGCCATCGCGTCTAGATATCTGCGCCGCATATCTCTTGGACCCCCAATAAAAGATGCATGAAGAACAATTCTTTTTCCAACTTCACCTCCCATTTTTTCTCCTCTTGATACACTATCAACGAGTCCTTGTAATAGCTCGGCTCTTAAATTAGTTTGGTTCCGTCGAAAGTAATCCAACCGTGTTGTCTCTAATTTTATATACATATCAACTGCATACTGTTGCAACAATCTTCCAGCTAAAAGCAGGGTAGACTGCCTCGCATTTCTGATCTGAAGTCGATAGCAACTATATTCTCGACAAGAAACTTTTTGATTGTTTTCACCTTTGATGCCTCCACATTATATACAATACCAATATAATCTTATTACTTTAGAGTTTATTGTGAAGATAGATGATAGTTAATCTTTTATTAAGTACACACCTTCCTGTTCTTGTGAAAGAACATCTTCAACAGAACTGAATCTCTATTGCACAGTTGTAGAAGTATTATTGCTCCCTAAAGTTTAATAAACATATTATATAGTCATGTATGCATTAACAAAGATATTCTAGAAATGAACACACTGTTTATGCTAATTGCATAAAATTTAGTTCTGAAAGTAAATGCATGTGTAAATGTATTTTCTAATGGAATTCCTATAGAATGTCTGTACTCCACTATTTAAAAATATTTCATTTGGGTCCATAACATATTTCTACAAATTACTTTAAGAAATAGTAGAAAGAAATTTGTCCATAATGTAACGAAAAATGGACGATGTAGAAAATTTAATTTAAATAATAAAGTTTTCATTCTAACATACCCCAACAATTGCACTTATTAAACTCCCTAATATCTAAAATAATATCCTGAAATTTGTATCTTTGGCATTTCTCCAATTTAACATATAAAAATAAGTAATATGAAAAGCATATTGTCATTTTTTTCCATTATACAAATATCAAATTATTTAGTTGGAATGTATAATATATGCAGCATATTGTGATATATATTAAGAAACCTCTTCGAAATTTTAATTATATATTTTCATCCAATCTTGTGAAAATTGTAGTAAATACATATGAAAGCCCCCGACTCTCTTTCACTTATGTATCAATTAGAATATTTGTAATAGAGTTGCTTCATGAGAACATACCTTGATTTGGTTCAGAAGACATATTTGTTAGCATAGGCTTGTCGGTTGCAATAGAAGCACCTAAATTTATCGAAGTATTTGCTGATAGAAAAATTTAATATTTATTAGTACAATCATGCACCGAATGTAACATATATATATACATACAGTTAATTGCATTTACTACCCCTGTGAAATTCGAATCTGCACGATTCCCCCATGTCATAAAAAAATTAGCAAATACCCCCCTATGCTTATTAGTCAAATGCGAAAACCCCCCTTGGAGCTGATCGTGCGGCTCACTCACCGCGTTTGCGATTTTGTCTTCCCTTTTGCTTATGAAAGGATAAAACTACCCCATGGTTATTTGCAATAAAAAATACAGACCTTAAAAATATAATTTTTAAAGGTAATGAACTAAATTGAATTTTTAAAACAAATGCAGGGGTTGAATTGCAATTTTCAAGAACTTAATTAAAATCCTAAACCTATCTCCTAATTTCTTTCCTCGTCTTCTCTACTTCCTCTCCAAAATTTCTGGATCTGAAGAATTGCAGGGATTAACTTAGGAAGGTCGAAGAGAGAGGGGTTGAGTAATGTTTGTTTTTGTTGGTGGTTGAATAGGAGTGATCGTGGGCGGCGGATTTGCAGAAGGTGGTGTTGCGGCGTTGGAAGCGTCAGGTGGAAGGACATGTATCGGAGGTGAGGAAAAAATCCCGCTTCGTCGAAGGTGAACGAAGTGCGGGCAGTAGTGGCGGAGCAAGAGCGGGTGAGGGGCAGAAATGGTGGATAAAGA